CAAAGAAGGTCAAGGTGCTCCAGGACTGCCCAGCCCAGTCAACAGACATGAACATTATTGAGCATGTCTGCGGTAAGCTGAAGGAGGAGGCAATAAAGATGAATCTAAAGAATCTTGATGAACTCCTGCAAGAACGCTTTCTTTGCCATACCAGGTGACTATTAATAAGTCATTGCAGAGATGTATGGATGCAATCCTCCAAGCTCATGGGAGTCATACACAATATTAATTATTCTTCCACTGCACCATGACTTTATATCTGTACATTATTTCTGTTAAGTGACTAGACTTTTGTCTAAGCAAAGTTACCTTGCTGTCCTAATTAAATAATTAAAAAATTAAGGCCTGATCATATTTTATTTGCTAAAATAAGTGTAATCTAGAGGCCTTCGCCTTTCATATAAGCCACTTCTGATACCAAATGATCAACTAAAAGTCAAGTTATTATTTTCTGTTCCTAAAACTTGGATAGACAACTAGACTTTTGTCAGGTAGTGCAAGCCACTAGTTAAAAGTGAGGATTGGTACTTAAATTAAAGCTTTATGCTAGTTAAACCAATATGCTAGCATTGTGCATGCTGATTTAAGCAACTAGGAATGTGTTTCCCAAGCAAAATGCTTGTAGTTTAAAATAGCTCTGTAGGAAGTAAAGTGTGTCACACTGCGAGGCACAGCTCATATATTTTAATAAATAACGGCTATAAAACTTTAAAAATCTTCTGCATGTTCTTCTTTGTCATAATGGCAGTGCTCTATGCAGCACATATGGCCCAGTTTTTTTTTTTTTTTTTTTACTTTGCACAAATGTCTGCAAAGTCTGAGTTTTTAATCTGGATCAGCTGACGCAGAAAAGGAGCTGGTTTTCAGCAGAGCAGTCTCTAAAACAGAAATAAGTTTACAGCTCACATCAACGCTGTCCATTGTGCTCCCATCTGTTTACATTCTTTTATTTCTCATTCCTGACAGACTGTCCACTGCAATTGTCACTTAATTTTAAACAAACACACACTCTGTGTCCTACAGCAGTCAACTGTGGCTTATTCCAGAGGCAAAAGTTATGCATCAAATCTTCAAAATCACATCAGCCCTAAAGTTCTGCTCACAGTGACACAGATTAGAGGTCACTAAATTGCTGTTTTGCTAACTAATAGCCGTGTTTACCCAAGCCAACAATATGAGGTAAAAAATCATTCAAACTGCTCAAATTTGTCACAGTGGGCGCTATCAAGTACTGGCATCAGACAAACAAATCTCAGTGAAAATTAATAATTCTTTATTAAGCTTGCTATAAAATTAGCTATTCCCTTTGAATGAAAATCTGCTGTGAATTAGTCGTTTGAATCAGTTCGTTGAAACAAACTGACCAAAAGAACCAATCTGAAGAAAAGAACTGGACATCTTTGTAAGGATTTTGTTCATATTGTTTCACAGATTCAATGTATTGCAACCCAGGCTCATTCTGAAAACGTATCCCTATATACATTTCTGGAGAGCATAAAATACATCCCAGAAGGTATGCGTTTTGCAGTTTTTGTTTTTGCGAATCCACCAGAGGGCACTGTGTACTTTTTTTGAGATCTTAAATTTCTCTCGTGAGTGCCATTCGTGTCTGTTCTTCTTACGTAAATCCAAGGCCACTGTCGACTGACTGAATGACTGACTAACCGATTGACTGTCTCACCCTCCTTTCGTAACCCCACGGATAGTTTTCAAAAGCACCAATCGACCCAATCACCCCCTTCCCTAAACACAACTGACAGTGTTGTCAAAAGCAATCCAGAAAAAGAATAGCCCTCGTGGCCGCCCAATTTTTACCCCGTCTTCAGATTTTGCCACATTTTCACCCCAATATTTGCTTGTTTATTTTATTTTTTGGCTTTTGTTTTAGTTTCACCTGCTTTCTGGAATCATTCTCTACTTGACTCGAACCCTTTGTCATGGTCAACTTCTCTCTGCGTCTCAAGTCTGCCAACGGATGCAGCAATCCACTGGACAAGCTGGTAACAACATACCTGCCAACACTTCTGTTTTTCCCGGGAATCTCCCATATTTCAGACCCATCTTCTGCCACCCTCCTGTTTTGTTATTTCTCCCAGAAAACTCCCGTAATTTCATCCCCTTGGTACAGTCTACTGTATAACAACCTCGGGTCGCCAATCACATCCTCACCACTACTGCCCTTGCCCCCCACCCCTGGTCTCCCAGATTGTCAGAGACAAATGTTGGCAGGTATTGGTAATAACCGGAAAGCCGTCCATACGAAGATAAGTGGTCAGCTAGTAAGCGCAAAAAGAAACGGCGTCATACCACCCCATAGCATTTGTTTTAAAGATGAAATGCAGCCACACGTACTTCTGACTTCATAGTTCGTGATATCCAGAAATGTATAGAGGGCTACATTTCAGAATGAGCCAGATTTACTTTCCTAAAAAAACTTGGCTTTACTAATTTTGGCTCTCAAACTGGTGTTAAATACTTACAATTTCAGCTAGAAATGAACTTTAATATTCTACTAAAAACAAATCACCTACACCTTTAATAAAAGCAAATTGACTGAGTAAATTAAAAGCAAATTTCCTTTTATTTTTAGGTAAACTTTCCCTTTAAGTTGCTTGCTTCAAGAACAAAAAAAAATGCATGGTCCATTCCCAACCCTCTTCAAAATGCTTATATGGTCTGAAATAAACTACATGTACAGTAGAAGACAGGAAAGAGGATGAAGGAAGAAAAGAGCTTGTCTAAACACCCTAGAGTGATGGAAAAGTTAATGGGCCTTTTCCTAGCACCAATCAATCTGCGCTAATCTCCTGCTGAGAGTTCTCCTGAGAGATGGCGGCCATGATTCCATCGCTGCGACGGCAAAGTCCACTCAACCACATCGCCTGTTAGTCGCCAGACCTTTCACTCTCTAACACACTAAGTACAGGGATTATACACCTCGAGAATAGACAGACAAAAATCGAAAGCTGAATTCTGAAAACATGCCTTAAAGTGACAGTTCCCCAAAAATTATAGTACGTCATTAACTTTTTTTTTTAAGGTTTTTTTGATTACTTGAATTTTAATAGAGGAACAGAAATCTCTCAAGTTTCATTACAAATATGTTGTGAGGGTTTAGAAGGACAGGACTAAGTAAATTTATTTATATAGTTAACCTTTTTGAATCTTCTGTTTTGGTGACAAATTTGGATTCACAACCAGGCCCATCGGAAACACATGACTCCTGCAGCATTTCTGCAAAACCTAAAAATGCATTGCTCCAAGTATGATTTGCTGCACTTTCCTTATAAAATATCCATAATAGAAATTAGTTTTGCTGCTTGTTTAAACTACTTATTTAAAATGAGTTGAAACAATACAAATCTTAAGTTTTTTTGCGACAACTAAATAGTTTATGTTCAGTCCACTTAAAATGGTAAATACAATTGTTAACTTAAAGAGCCACTATTATGCATTAAAAGGGTCATATTTTGGTTTTGGGGTCTCCAACAACTGGCTGATTTACATGCAAGTCAAAAAAACATTTCATTGTCTTATAATGTGCATTTATTTTTACTTAATTATCCCAGCGACTCCCATGTGATTCGTTCAGCGATTCATTTGTTCCCAAATCCCTCCTTAGCTTGATGCTAATCTGTGCTGATTGGACCGATGACAGACCGATGTCTGTTGCGATTAATCAACTGCATTCATCGCGACAGATAGAGAAATAGAAATAGAGAAATACCCACCACAGCTTTTGAACAATTTTGTAGTAGTCAGAGTGCAGAGTGCATGTGTGAGCATACCTGCTAACACTTCTACCCATCTCCCGTAATTCCAATTCACTGTAATAATTCTGCCCCTGCGATACATTATCGATGTAGCTAAGTACCAATATTCATTTAAAAGTACAAAAGAACTGAATTCATTCATCAGCCTTGCACAGCTGTTTACCCCAGGACATGAGGTGGCGCTTCTTGTAATGGGGGATCAAAAACACATCAATGTTGCAATTTCACAAAATATATGTGCTGTTTATAAAAGTAATACATCTTATACTGTAACTTTGTGATGCATTTTTCCCTTTCATTTACTAATATCATGATGTATTGTGAATGGTTTTCTGATCTATCATTATTGTCATCAGCATTATTAGTATCAGGGGCAAAAATATCGTGATACTGTCGTATCATATTACTGTACCTGAATATCTGACTACTTAAATTTATTTATTTGTTTATGCTTGCAATTCGTTTGATTCACTTCGCTGTAGGATTATTCCAATCAATCTAAATGAATGATTTCATTCCAAATAAAGCTATTCAAGTCATCTGCCAAAATTGTATTCATATGCCAAAATATATCGCAGAAAACTAAAATATCGTGCAGCCCTAATAGAAATCATAATAGTGAGTTTGGAACAACATGAACATGACTGTCACAGATTAATTCTGTCACATCTGATGATAGAATAAGCATTTTTGTGTGAACTATCCATTTATGTTTTTAAACACAAATCAATAGAATGTTAAGGTAACTATCCAGCTGCAATGAACACAATGAAGTCTGTTTTATCTTTGCTTCTAGCTAAACACCACCAATCATTAGCAACAGCATCCATGAACGCACATGACCAAACGCACATGACTAAAGCAAGCAGACGTTCAAAATGTCCAGCCTATTTTGAAACCCTGCTCAATCACATGCGTCCCCCTCTGCGTGACAGCACGGTACAGACTCGTCCAAATGTCTTTTTTTTCCAAGCAATTGTGCCAATGTGCCACATTCCAGCTGGCCTACGTCTTCAACCACCGTGGATGTAGGGGCGGGTCAGAACGTCTCATTTCCTGATCCCAAAAATAACCCAGATGGTAATAAAACTTGGCCACTGCATGTTCCCCGATGATCCCAACTCCCTGTGACTATGATTTAGTTGGAATTGATTAACCATTACAACCCGGTCGAGGGATTCTGCTGAATCGTTACATACAACATTAATAATAAGCAATCAGACTCGCCTCCAAGCTGTACTCTTCCACAGTTCTCTTCAGGGGATCCACGATCTGCCAGCATATGAGGATGCACAAATCAATCAGCAACATCCCTCCCACGATGATAAAGAGCTTCTGGTCCTTGATAATCTGGAAGGGGAAAAAGAGAGAAAAGTAATGGACGAGGTGATTAAGGGGATGAGAAAAAGACAGAGATGGACAGGAACCATCAATGGGGCATTGGCTCAATGATCTCCTCTCGCATTTTGAACCTTTGTGGATGAAAGCACTGCTCCTGTCTGATCTTTTCCTCTTTTCTTCTATTTAACAGTGGTTGACCTAAACATAACCCAAATCAAAGGAAAGGTCACCGCGAGGAGGCCTGTGTGTATACTAGAGAAAGCAAACAGAGGGAACGAACAAATTCTTCCATGATTCCGAATAGAAACGCTAACTTGTTTTGATCCGATGGCTTACCAACAGCCAAAATCTTGCATCATAAGGATCAAGGCAGTGGTGGGTTACTATGTGAGCACTGAGCTAAAAGCAGAACCCTATCAGAGCGGATGCTCTTTATCTTCAGTCAAACAGAGGTTGATGGTTTCATTAAATGGTCAGACATTTGAAATAGCACAAGATCATGATATGACAAGATGCATTAGGAGAACTGCTTGGCCAAATGGCCGCTAAACTTCATTGTACAAAATCTCTTTTATCTCTGCAAATGGAAGCTGATGATGGATCAAAAACAACCATCAGCCATAAAAATCCCTCCCTTTACAATTTACAGATACAAATAGTTCCTAAGGGTAAAATAAAATGAATCATGCAATGGATGATGCCTTATGTGGACATGAAACACTGAATCTAGTGTCTTTCAAGAGCAAAATAGCCAATTTGCTGTTATTGTAAAGATTTATTACCGTAAATAAACTCTATGAGGAAAAATAGATGACCTAATATAAAGATGTAAAAATAACTTTCCAAACAGTTCCCAAAAATTATTAGCTAATACTTAAGTTGACACGACAGATAACAGTTACTCCAAAAGGCGGAAGATTTGTTGCCATTTTCAGACCAGCGCAACCCTAATTTTCACGTTTGCGAAACGTTTAAATAGCAAATTAATTTGCACCACTTTGTGGACTTATGGGTGTTCTGGTCTAAAATAGAGGTGTTAGGAAACATTGATGGTGCTTTGCTTTTTTGAGGAACTGAAATAGGCTGCACCACTGACCAACTGAAAGCTGGTCTAAAGTTCAGTGCAGAGCGCGTTAGTTGAGAGCCTTTGCAGGTCCAAGATATGTACACATTCCTTAATACACACAGGATGTACAGCAATACACAAATGACTTTACATTTGAAAAAATAAAGGAGTAAAATGTTACAAAAAGGATTATTTTCTACATAAATATATAAACCACTACCTCCATGCCTTCTTCATGTGGGGGAGCTTTTTTCAGTTTATTAATGACAATTTGAATTGGTATAATGTTACTATTAATAGCAATATAATTTATTATATGCATATATTTGTTTTAATAAAAACAAGTTTAGATGTATCCACCTGCTGGGTTTTGGAGATGTATGCATCACCATATGGGGCATAAGAATAAGGCGTGTGTTTGGATATAGCTCAGTTTTTTTTACCACACTTAGTTATTATTGTTTAAATTTGTTTGCTGGAAATTAGAACTGAATATTGAAATAGTCTTAAAAAACAAATCTTTGCGCTTCAAGAACAAAATAAAATATGTAGGCTAATGGATGTCTTCAGTGGAGTGCATTTCCTTATCCCCGAAAGTAAAGGAGTAAAGAGTAAAAATAAAGTAAAGAGAAAGTAAAGAGGCCAAATAGAGGAGGCTCAATCTTTATCCTTACACTTCAGATGCTCCGTTTAACTGTTTTCTTGCTAGTAAAGCATTCAGTTTTTCCACTTACAAAGTCTGACATGTAAATAGCAAAAGTGCCATAGCGTTGCAACTGACTCTTAAAGGAAATGGGAGAGGAGACTTTGATTGGTTTTAATGCACATTATGCTCAAAACACAACCATAACTCATAAGCACAAATCTGCTACATCATGTGCTGTAGCGCAAAGCATATTTTTTCCATCTTTAAAATAGCAAAAGTGGATTCAGATATGCCCTTCATGCTTTTGCGCCATGCACTTTAGACTTTGCGCCTATATCATTAAAATAGAGCCCATCATGTCTATTAAATTTTTCCTGCAGAATGCCATACAGGTCTGAGATAACACTGGAAAGTGTAAATGACAGATTTCCACATTTGTCTAAACTAACACAAAATAATTATTGACATCTATGCACATCAAACTGGGAAAAATGACACGTCACTATTACTGCTGTTAATTAATCATGATCTTGGATTTCATACCCTATAGCTCTATTTAAGCTTTTGTATTCACAGTTCAAATTGCTCACTGCTTATACAAGATTGTTGCTGCAGGTCTACAAGAGCATGTGGTGCATTAGTGTCAGATTGTGTTTGTGCTCAGTCTAACTTATGCAGGCCATCATGTGCCTGTGTCGGATTGCATTTACAGATGCACACATCTCTTAATGCCATCTATTTGTGACACTGTATGTTCCATAATACAGTCAGGGACTCTGAATGATGCATGATGCAGTACACAGGTGTGTATGTAGTTGTATGTCATACAATAATGAATATTTAAGCTTATTGACCATATATATTTAGATAAAAAAGTGGAATCAGACTAACAGTTTTTTAAAAGGCTCGGGATGAATTACCCTAAAATGATGGTATAAAATATTGTAGAAATGATATATTACCTAGAAATACTTAAGTAAAATTAAACAAACTAAGATTAACTAATGCAAATGATTAAAAACCTAATAGATAAAAACAGTACTTGCTTAATAGAAAAAAATGTAAATAAAGACATTCTGGAGAATCAGCTATTAAATACATATTAACTGGGATAACTAACATAAAAGATCATGAACACGTAAACAAAAGTAAAACTAAATAAACCTTATGAAAATTATTTGCCCAATGAAATGGACTTAACACTATCCCCCAATTTATGCTGCAACCCCTATTAAAACACAACAATTGGTAAACAACATAAAACTATTATGTAACTGAAAAAATTATCTAAAATTAGATAATCTGAAAATCTTAAATAAAAAATAACTTAATACCTATAATGATTATTTGCTCAACAATACAAAGTTAAAGTTATCCCGATGAGCTCCCAAATTTCTGTTGTAATCCTCTATTAAAAACTCATCAAAAGAAATAACTGACATAAAGATCATAAACTCATTCATTCATTCATTTATTTATTCATTCATTCATTCATTTTCTTTTATTAATCTGGGGTCATCCAGCTTTACGCAGCAGATGCCCTTCCAGCTGCAACTCATCACTGGGAAACATCCATACGCACTTATTCCCACACATACACTATGAACAATTTAGCTTACCACATGTCTTTGGACTTGTGGGAGAAACCGGAGCTTCCGGAGAAAACCCACAGGGACAACATGCAAACTCCATACAGAAATGCAAACTGACCCAGCCGAGGCTCGAACAAGCGACCTATTAGCTGTGATGCGATTGTGCTACCCACTGCGCCCTATAAACTCATACACCAAAGTAAAATTAAATCAACTCATAACTAATAAATGAAAAATGTATAAGAGTTATCCCGGACGAGCCCCCCAATTTATGTTACAACCCCTATTTAAAACACATCATGGGGTAAAAAACATTAAATAGGTCATAAACTCATAAAATGAGGTCAAATGAAATAATATGAAACTGACAAAAAAAAACAAAAACAAGATATAAACAATGATTGCCCAACAAGAGTTATACTTATCCTGAGCAAGCCCCTGATTTTTTACAATCCCCTACTAAAAACACATTATAAACCAGGTCATAAACTAATAAAATGAGGTCAAACTAAAGTATATAAAACTGATAAATAAAAACTTAGATATAAATATTAATTGTCGAAAAAGGGTTATAGTTATCCCGGACGAGCCCCCATTTTTGTTACAACCCCCTATAAAAAACACATTGTTAAAAAGGTTATTAACTCATAAAATGAGATCAAGTGGAATAATATGAAACTGATAAAGAAAAACTAATATTTAAACAATAATTGTCCAACAAAAGTTATGGTTATCCCGTACGAGCCCCCCAAATTTATGTTAAAACCCCCTATTAAAAACACCTCAAGGGGTAAACTATATGAAAATGTCATAAATGTGAACAATCCTGTTAAAATAAGATAAACACACCTAAATTCAACCATAACCTAGGCAACTAAAGCAAACATCAGTATGTGCAATGCATGTACATGTGTGTTTGAGTTTTTTTTCCCGCTCTATCTTTCTCTTTTCCTAGAGCTCAGATTTAAATCTGGCAGAGGTGATTGACACAGCCCTCGCTTGGCCCCGAGGCACAGAGAGACTGTAACAGACCCCTCAGACCGGTGGACCAGCATCGAACGGCGGCTGATTTGCGACGGCCTGTCCGCCGAGTCACTGCTTCTCAGCTTGATAAAGAGATGGCACACCCACATGCACACTCACAAAACACAGTCCTGACAGCAGCCATCGCTTTCGAGTGCCAAAGCCCAGCAGTCCATCACTGTGTGGAGCGGGAGTCAGCTCACTGCCAGCTTCCTGCACACTGAAGCGCCAGAGGGAATTAAAGCCCGGAGTCTGGGCATTACCTGTCTCTGAATTTATTTATATGTAGTGGTCCAGTTAAGAACTGCTAATTGAGTGTGAAAGTGCAACTGGAGAGAAGAAACTGGCATTACATCGTATTCTGTTTTCTGAATCATTGTTTGGAATTCTGTATTCAGGAAAAAATCTATTATTTTAGTTGCGATTCAAATCTAAAGAAAAAAAGGAGAAATTTTGATGTTGTACAATCCAATGTGCTTGGCCATTTGCAGTGTTAAGCAATCAAAACAGAAATTTGACTTAGTATTTTAAAGCAGAGGTCAACGCTTGACAATTTTTCGTGGCCTGGCAAGGAAGGGGATGTGCGAAGCTTTTACGTAGATTGCTAGGCGACCATCAACCGTTTTCTCAGAGTATGACAAGCTGACAAAACATTGCTGCAACTCTGATACAAGTTTTATTCATGGAGAAACCACTGCTGTGTTTGTCTGAGATAATTAGTCTACTGAAATAATTATATTCCATACTAAACATGAAGCTCAGTTCTTGACACGAAAGTCCAGGTGTCCTCGCGGCATTCTGAACATGTTTTCAAATAGGTGTGCTTGGAAGGCGAAAGCTCGTCGGACAACTTGCAAGCATCAATCCTAATTTGCCCCTCGCAAGCCATCCATTGAAAATAATGAACATGTGTGCGGAAAAGACGCGATATGTGAACGACCACTGTTATTAGCGAATCTCCAGCAGGTGATCTTCTTCTTGCACACACAAACATGCTGGATTCACCCTTGGCATTTCCTTGGCAGTTCATGGGTCCTTCACTGGGCCTTTATTCCTTTTTAAAGAAACTTTCCAAACACGTCCGTTTCTTACTCATTTTACTAGCTCAAGTGAAATTTTGGCGCTCAAGTGACCGAAATGTAACCAAGAGAATACGGTCATTTTTCAAAATAAAAGTTTGTTTAGACTCTGATAATAAATAAAATGAAAACAATTCATTATTTCTTGTGCAGCCTGGTACCAACTGATCCACAAACCAGTACCGGTCTGTGGCCTAGGGGTTGGGGACCATTGCTTTAAAGCTTAAAGGTGTTAAAGGTTAAAAAATGAGGTTAAAAAATTCACAGCAGTAATATAAATTTAAATTACAGAACTGAAATTTTGGTTTAACGGTATAAGTGGATTTTCATTTAAAAAGGAGATATTAATTAATTACTCAATTTAAATAGCATCAAATCAAAACCCAGCCTAACAAGTAAAACTTCAAGACGTATGCTCTAATATAATTGCATACTAATCCTAGAAATGACTTATGAGTATAGCAAATATCATCTACTTAAAACAGCCTTCACACTTAACCATGTAAATAATTTTCTTTGATTTACTTCCATTGTATTAGTGCTATTTAAAAAAAGGTATGGTGACGCGGAGACGCAGGTTGTAGCACGATCGCCTCACAACAAGAAAGTCGCTGGTTCGAGCCCCAGCTGGGCCAGTTTGCAATTCTGTGTGGAGTTTGCATGTTCTCCTGGTGTTTGCGTGGGTTTCCTTCAGGTGCTCCGGTTTCCCCCACAAGTCCACAGACATGTGGTACAGGTGAATTGGGTATACTAAAATTGACCGTAGTGTATGAGTGTGAATGAGTGTGTATGGATGTTTCCCAGTGATGGGTTGTAGCTGGAAGGGCATCCACTGCGTAAAACATATGCTAGATAAGTTGGTGGTTCATTCGGCTGTGGTGACCCTAGATTGATTAAGGGGCTTAGCTGAAAGAAAATGAATGAATGAATAAAAATATACTTTTCATAATATTGTTGTGGATAAAATACTGTGGTATTTGTACAATGTTGTTATTGTTAACTAATACTATTAAAGATAATATAAACTCAGAATATTAGACTAATAATCTAAATTACTTGAACTAAAAATAAAATACAATGATACATATATGTATCATTTTATTTTATTTTTCACTAACTAAAACCTAAATATCAATATTAAAAATTACATAAAATGACCCTAAATCGAGACAACATAAAAATACAAGCACATTAAAATAATAACAATAAAATAAATAGTATAATTAAATATTAATGATAAAAATTGTAACAAAATATTAAAACAAAAATACAATCTGAAAAAAACTAATTAGAGTAATAAAATGCAATTTTAAACAGAAAATATTAAATAATAGCTCATTCAAAATATAAACAAAACTAATAAATAAAGTTATTAATTCAATTTTATTATTATGAGAATTTAAAAAGCCTAAGATTTTTCAACTGACAATTCAATTCATGTTTATATATATATATATATATATATATAGACAATATAGGTTGTGGCAAAGCAGCTTAACATAGATCTAGTAAAGTCCAGATTTCAGAATTGAAGTTCATTTTAGTTCAGTTCAGTGTGGTTTAATTTTCACTGATGAAAGTCCAAACACTGAAGAGCAAATTCATCGATGTGCAGCTCCACAAGTCTCGATTCGAGCAAGTCAGTGGCGACACTAGCGAGGAAAAAAACTTCACCAATTGATAAAGTGAAAGGAAAAAAACCCCAGAGAGAAACCAAGCTCTGTTGGGCATGACCATTATTCTTCTGCCCAAACTTGATAATATAATACATCTGATCATATACATATAAAGGCTAAATCAAAGCATTAATGAATACTGAATTACTATATATTAATAATGCTAAAATACCGTAGCACTGTATCAACGCCTGAAGTTTTGACTAGTTTTCTCTAGTTTACCTGCAGCGTGGTTTATGACTCTGAGTTTTGTGTGTATATTTCTCCTGCTCTGTGACTGCAGCAGTGGAAGCAGAGCTGTGGACTCTATAAATAAAGATGGCCAGCAGGGCACTGAAGCTGCGGCTACAGCCATCCTTTACAGCACTGTCACACAACATCAGCTGCTTCGCTCGCCACATTCACACACCGAGCAGCGAGACAAACAGCGCATTAAAGAAGGTCAGTGACATTTGAATGATTCTGCTGCATTTAAGAGCTGCATGTATGCACTTGTGCAAAAGAAACCCACTGCATTATTCCCTATAGCACTGTGATGCCTTTTTACACACACATCTGTGAAGAGCGATCCTAACAGAGCAAAAAGACACCGTTCCCTAGAAGAGATCAGAGATTTGCTGGTTTAAGAAAATACTTAAAAATATACTTGAACTTTATTTGAGTATTCACAGGTCACATCTTAATGAAACTAATTTTTTTTTCTCCCTAAATTAAACAGTCCATTTTGGGGGCGAATAGGTTTATTTAACATGTCCACTACATTTAAACAGTTCAATTTGACTACTTTCATTCAGTTGATCACTGGGTCTGGCGGGTGCACTTTTAGCTTAGCATAAATCACTGATTTGGATTAGACCATTAGTAAAAAATTCCCCCCCAAAATTTTAATCAAAGGTTTTATGAAATTAAAAATATGTTTTTTTTTTTTTTTAGTATCAGTATGTTAGCCTTAAGAATATCTATATGCTAGTGACTTCCAAAAACAGTGATAAAATTGACATTTAGAGGATATAAACCTGATATAATCATCTGATCTTCTGCCTAAATATATCGATTTTCATACTTTAGTTTCTCATCAAATCTTCTGACCAAACAAAAGCTGTCCTAGCTAACAGGGAACATTCCTAGAACATTCATAACTTAAAAAGTGGTAGGAAAAAAAATGTGATTATCAGTTATTTAAATTTAAGTCAAGTAATCATGTAACGCTGATCTGCGAGGTTTATTTTTAAGATATAAACGATGTGTTGTGCTGTATCTGATATGATACTGTAGTTCTCACCTTCTTCTTCATCTTTACATTCTTGAAGATGGCATGGACTCTCCAGGTCTTCGCAAACATGGCACCAAACGCTGTTGTGTACCCCACAATGAGGATCCATGTACGGACCTAAAAACATTAGACGTGAAACAGTGAAGCAAGGCTGCTACAAACCAAGAGTTGATATCATTTATGCACTCAAAATTTCACCTAAAAAGCAAGACTGAATCCCAACACAGTCTACAGAATACAAAAACAGCAGCCGCAAAAGCATGAAATATAATGATCCCATATCCAAGATCAGAAAACAAATTGGGTGCCAGAGAGTGTGGTGAAGTTGATGAGGCATGGTTTTTCATTTTTGTCCTCCTTCATCGCTCTAAATCTAGTATTGTTTATAGTGTTTTCCTCTGGGGGGAAAAAAAAATCTCAGAATGTACAAAGCAGGACTCAATGATAAGAATGGCTTACCAGCCCAGAGGAAATGATAAAGAGTTTTTGGCTTGTTTAAGGAACCACTGAGCTGTTTCTATATCTTGTTTGTTGATTTAAAGAAGATTTAAAGTTTTGATGTTGTTGGATGTGACCTGTCAAGTGCTGTTGTGAATTAAATTCACCAAATACTTTTGACCTGTGACAGAATTGTGATAACCTTGGAGCATGGTCACTAAATTTAACCATAAAACCATTCATTCGTTCATTTTTTTGGCTTAGTCCCTTTATTCATCAGGGGTCGCCACAGCGGAATGTTTTGCCAACATTTCCAGCATATGTTTTATGCAGCGGACGCCCCTCCAGCTGTAAACCATAAAACTAAAGTTTGTGTATAATATGTTACTGCAGTGGTTCTCAAACATTTTTCATCAAGTACCACCTCAGAAAAAATGGTCTCTCCAAGTACCACCAAAATGAGCAGTATTGAAATACAGTAGCGCAGTAGGCCCAATAAAGCAGCTGCAACTCAGCACAGTTAAAAAAACGTGGCAGATTACCTCAGAAATATAGGCTATATGTCATATATGACATATTATATACATCATTTTTGATCAGTTTTGAAATGTGTGTAGCATGTACATGACATATTTTATTACTCCGCGTACCACTAGAAGGAAGCCTGCGTACCACTAGTGGTACACGTACCACAGTTTGAGAACCACTGTGTTACTGTATATAAACTTGTGGTATATACAAACAATGGTAAAATATTATTGGAATTACAGTTCATTGTATTGACAGATTCTTTTTAATGGTAAAACAAGCTTAATTGTACCTAAATCTATATTTCCCAGCAGGCACAGAACATCAACATGACGTCTGATTGATGTTGTACCCCAACGTCGTGGGACATTGCATTTTGTTTGGAAAATTGTGTTGATGTCAGAACCCAACGTCAGGCCCACGTCAATCTCCAACATCAGAGAGACTTTGCATTTTGGTTACTTTCCAACACAACCTAAAAGCAACAAAATATCAATGTCTTAATTGACCCAGTGGCTGTTTAGATGCATGTCACTGATGAGAAGATGACAGATGTTTACTGTGTGATGACCGAAAAGGCCTCAAACACTCAGCAGGCACAAGACATCAACATGACGTCAGATTGACATTGTACCCTAAGGTCATGGGGACGTTGCATTTTGTTTGAAAATGATAATTGGATTGACGTCAGAACTCAGCGTCAATCCGACATTTTTGTCCAACGTCCAACTTAAAATCAACCAAATATCAATGTCTAATAATGTTAAAGCTTGACGTTGTGTGAACGTTACCAATATGACGTCTATCAGACATTGGATTTTGGTTTCCATACCTGACGAATAAATGTCAGTATTTGACGTCAATTTGACGTTGGTTTAAGATGTTGGCTTGACGTTGGATTTTGGTCACTTTCACACACAACCTAAAACCAACATCAATGTAATTTCACACTGCTATTAGACGTCAAAATAACACGGTCCTTAGATGCTAGTGACCTAAATCTAACCTTAGTGTCTTATGACATTGCGTGTCTGCTGGGCTAATTTCTAATCAATTTTAAGCAAATGTGACCCTGGACCACAACACCAGTCATGAGGGTCAAATGTGATGGGATTTCTACATAATCTGAAAGATAAAAAACATTGATTCATGGTTTGTTAGGATAGGACAAAATTTGGCCAAGATACTAATATTTGAGGGCGCAAAAAAGAGAAAAACATCCCTCAAAATATTATCAAAATGAAGTTCTTGGCAATGCATGTTACAAAAAGAAATTTAGGTTTTGATATATTTTAAGTCGGACATTTAACACAATCTTTTCTTAACATCCTAACGATTCATTCATTCATTTTCTTTTCACCTTAGTCCCTTTATTAATCTGGGATCACCACACTGGAATGAACCGCCAACTTATCCAGCATATGTTTTACCAAAGTCCCTTTAAGGCAAGTCATTTCACTTGTTGGCCAACTTTGAAACGCCTCTCGGACTATGCTTGGGCATTCTGTCTGAGTAGGGAAACATCAAATTCTCTAAAACAACTTGCCAAGCTTATGATTACATTTCATATAATGAATAACTTACTGATTAATAAAGGGACTAAGCCGAAAAGAAAATTAATAAATATAGGTATAAATGATATATTCAGAACAAAAACAGATTGACTTTATTTAGGACCCAAAAATAAATATAATAATACATATATTATTATATATATATAATTCATATTTAAACCATGAATATTAATTGCTCAATTTTACCCTACCCGTCTCCGGCAGGTAGCATGTGCCTTGCTCAACACATTTGTGAGTTTCTTCCCCTTGAGACTGGAGCTACTGCAGTAGCTAAAGCTTCGTAATTAAAAGGTGGATTATGGTCACATGCAAACAGGCAGTGGAGGCGTGACGAGACACATCCAATCCTGCTTACTCAGTGTGGGGGACACAGTCTGAGTAGCAGAGGTGAACAGCTTTCACATTCAGAAATGGAGGAGAGCTAAACTGGTTCTCTCAGGGGAAGCTGACACAGGGGAACTTGTCTTAATCTCTAATAGTTATATGTTTAGTTGCATACATTCATCTAGCATTGGTTGTACATGTTGGTTTAGAGAGGCCATATGAGGCTTTGTAATGTGTAGTTATAGGAAAGACGGGTAACTGAAACAAAGAACAAAACATAGCCCAAGCCAGTGTTTGCTAAGCCTGTTATTGGAGACACATCAACAGTACATATTTTGGATGTCTCTCTTATCTGACCCATTCATTTTAGGTTTTGGAGTCCTTTTAATGTTTTGATGACTTAATTCCATCGTGTTTAATTAAGAGAAGTTTGAAAACGTGTAATGCTGGTAAGCCTCCAGGAACAGAGTTGGGAAACTCAGCCCTAAATAACAGATTTCAAATTTGCAATGTTATACTGTATATTATACTGTATATTATATTATAATATATTATATTATATTATATTATATTATATTATATTATATTATATTATATTATATTATATTATATTATATTATATTATATTATATATTAAACATAAAAACAATATGTTTTTCTGAGTGTTAACTTATTCATGTACATCCAATAGACTAAATAATGATATTTTAAAATGATACTATAAGGCCTCTAAACACCAGTGTAATACATTAGTCCTAAATTAAAATATGTTTCAAATGAAAACTTCATTACTATCATAAATATGTTTGCTTATCAAAGCCCATTTCACAAGGTTATCACTGTAAATTATTAAAATAAATTAGCTGGAAAATAATACACAAATCTGCTGTACAAAAAATAAATTTACCTTTAATTTTTCTACTTCGCACATCAGTACCAAAACACCAGTAAAATCCAAGTTAATGGTTAGATGTTCTTCCAGTGCATGTTTACACAGAAGAAAAAAGCTCTGACTTTGTACATCAGCACTCTCCTGTTCTTTGTTCGCACACAACATGATAGCAGTAATTTACCAGAGATGTTATATCTTCTCCTACCTGATCATTTCCAGAACTGATTTACCAGTATTTTGAAAAGATCCTCTTTACACATGCTCCCTTAACAGTGATTTACCAGTAAAAAAGGCCTAATGCTTCATTATTCATGTGCATAATGTACATATAAAGCACTACTTAACACATATATTAGACCACATTTTATAAGAGAAAACAGTTTAGATCTAAAAATTGTTCATTGTTAATTGATTAGGCAAACAACAATCTGGAGTTTTTATGAATTAGCAATTTTATACCCAAATTTGAACCGGCATATTCAACATCTCTCAGAAGTCAGAAATTAATCAAGCATTAAACCATTAAAACTACATTTTCTATTAAGGACTGCAATTAAATAACTGTAATTGGGCATCAGGACTAAAAATAAACAAATAAAGGGCTTACTATTTTTTTCTGCCTTTTCGTGTAAAGCTGTATAGTAAATACGAATGGATAACAACACTAAATACATTTGAGCAGTGGAAATACTACTGAGACTGTAAAGCTTTTACGGACTGGTGAATTAACCTTTACTGAAACATAATATATATATATATTTAAAGCGGCTATGGTTATCTAATAAATTTGATGAGCATTGTATATTTTTTAAAGTAATAATCATCAGATATTGTAAATCATTTTGCAAAGTTGTAAAGCATTACTTTGCTACGGCAATACACGTTTTAAATGTAAAAAAAAAATGTTTTTAGAGGCTAAATACACATTAAATACCATCAAACTGTCCATACTACTATACAATTTGATGTCTACTTTACAGATATTGTCAAAGCTTGAAAAATTATTGTTCATATCAAAACATAGAGGGCGCTCTTGTATGGTCACCAATGGAAACTTAGCTTTGATTTTCTGTCAAATTTGGATTAAAACGTTTTTTGTAAAATATATGTTTTGTGTAATGAAATAAAGTATATATTTATTTGTATATACATATAACAATAATTTTATTTAACTTGTTGAACTAGCTACAATAGGACATCTGTCTTCCTTACAATAAAAAATGAAAAAGCCTAAATCTCTGCACCAAAGCATTGAAGAATGGCATTCATTTAAGTTGTACTTCAATTTTATGTCTATGCTCAAAAAGCGGGGCTCACAATTAGGCGGTAAACATAATTGAGAAACTTTAAAAGAGTAAAAGTGTAATGCCTAAGCTATAGACATTACTCACAGTGCAGAGGGTTTCAAACTCCTTGTCTGACACAAAAGATCCGTCCAGCCCGAAGAGGAAGATGGAGGCGTAGGACAGCATGCCACCCAGAATGATCAGGTTGTTCATATAGGGACTCGACATTTTGATCAGCCTGCAGATGGAGGGAAGCACATGGCTGATTCATTAAAAATTCACATTTCATTTATTATTAACAACTGCAATTAAATGTGCATCTACACCCGTGACATACAGACAGAGTGGAATTGAAAAAAAGTCTAAAACCAAGAGTGAAAATAGCTTTACTTGCATAATTTTCATTTTTCCATACAACATTTCTTATTGCAATCGTAGGTTTTATTATTACTGTAACATTTTGTGCATTAATCACTTCTAATATATTAATGCATTGCTAAAAGTATCACAGTACTATATCTGTAAAAATTACATTATTGTTATACATATGTCCTACTTTGTCTGATTGATTTTTTACCGTTTCTTTAAATTTTGTAACAGCATACGCCAGTAAATATTTTAAAAGATGTCAATTTTTTTTTAAAGTTGTATATATTAAAAATAAATATAATATAATATATTAAATATATATATATATATATATATATATATATATATATATATATATATATATATATATATATATATATATTTCTCGAATCTGATGATAGCCGTGCGAATAACAGCACTTGTACAGCCTCTTCCCCCTTGTGTATTACTCCGCCCACATAGAGTGACAGCAGATCAATAAACTCACTACAGTTTGACAAATGTTGCAGCTGTTGGACAACATTATGTACTTTTGAGGAATGTAGTTGTTTAGATTGCAACTATGCAGTTTTTTTTATTAGGATAGTGCCTATTTTAAATATTTATAATTTCAGAGATACAATGCGTTTGCAGCCATCAGTCTGTAATACTGAGAAGAGAAAAGATGATTGACAATCCGCCACAACGGTGGTGACAGAGATCGCATAATAAATCCTTAGGGGAGAAAAACTCAGCGTTAATTTCAAACCACAGCTGATCAAATCATTCTAAAACAGGTAAGTGATATTCTAAGTTGATCTCTTTTTTTTGTATGTTGTAGTGCTGTATTTATACCAAAGTAATCTGGTAGTGTTTGCTTTGCTTTCCTGATTGCAAAAGAGAAATACTGGGAAATCTCTGTAAACTTATGGCATTTCATGCCGTTCAGCCTTATAATCTTAAAATGTTAGCAAAATCACCTGTTTTGTCATTACTTTAAAATGACGTTGGTCAATGGGCGACATTTTCTGCTGTTTTGACCGTCAGCTGCAGATGTGAATGAATGACGGAAGAAAGTAGTTCCTCATTCAATAGGGTTTTTAAGACTCCATGTTTGATTTTCTTTTTTGTATACACGATTTTGCAGGCAACTGTTGTATAAACACAATATCACACTCGCAGCAGTGCGATATTGTTGTATATCGTCACTGGTGGGACACTAAGGCACTCGAGCCAATGCATGCCTCCCAGCAGTGCAGATAAACAGCCATGTCGCACTGCTACTCCAAATTAGGGTACAAAATAAAAACAATATTTAACAACAATTATTCCAGTGATTTTAAAGCTGATTACAGCCATTATCGGGCCATTACTCAGATCTCCTTTGTCACATGACCCATTTAGAAATTACTCTAAAATGCTACTAAAGAAACCTTTTTTCAAACAATGGTATTTTCTTTTATTATTTAATCACTCAAAAGAACTTCATGTAATAAATTAAATTAAATTAAATCTTATCTTGTGTAGCATAATAAATGTTTATCGTTCCCTTACTTTGGTCTTTAATGTCACATGACCCATTTAGAAATTACTCTAAAATGCTGCCAGACAAACCTTTTTTCAAACAATGATATTTTCTTCTATTATTTAATCACTCAAAAGAACTTCATATAGTAAATTTAAACTTGTCTTGTGTAACATTATAAATGTTTACTGTTCCTTTCGATCAACCTAATGCACCTTTGTGGATAAAGACGAATTTTTAGAAAAACAAAACTAATACTAACTAATAATAACAAACAAACTAACTAATAAGAATCCAACTGACCTCACACTTTAAATAGTACCAAATATAATAAAATATTATTAAAAATAAAGATGCATCTTAAATATATAATTTTTTTTCTATAATAACTTTCATTTGACCTAAAAATATATATATAAATCCTATATTTGATTTCTAAATTAAAGGTCCCAGATTTTCAGTGTGGTCACAGACTTTTTTCCATCTCACTCATGAACTCCTTCCGTCACATTGTGGCTGATCTCTGACCTGTGGTTGCGGTTTTTGATGTTGAAGAAGAGAAAAGCGCCACCCATCAGCATGCCCAGGATCGTGATGGTAGACAAGATGCTGTAGAGCGGGACGTTAATTTGCCGACGCTGCAGACGCACAAATGTCCGATCCTTCGGCGGTTCGACACCTACAAGAGTCAAGACGATTCACAGTCAGGAGGATGTCACCTCTGTAAAAGCTTTCAACGTTTCCTTGGAAGTCACTGTATGTAATTTAAATGACTAAGGTTTTCAAATGGCATGCCAAACAGAGAAAGAGAAGGAGAACTGATGGGGTTATACAGTCACTAATGTGACATATTAGCTCTATTCCAGCACAGGGTTACATAATAATGTTTGTGGATGGGTTTGAAAACTGTGGCGGTGATTGTGTTGTAAGATGCGATTAGGTCTTACATCATAATGAGAAGTTGGAAGGCAGTCGAGCACTTAAACCAAGTGAGTCACCAAAATGAGTCAAGACTTGTTTGCGTGACTTGCGTTAAGAAAACCAATAACAGTCTGTGTGTTTTAAGTCAGTCTTTACCGCTATTAAGTCCAAAAGCTAATGGTTTTGACTCTATTTCAGTCTAATTTAGAAAGCAACTCAGTTTGCGTTAGTACTTGGCAGTTGTTGTTTTTTTTTTGTGAAAATTTTAATTTATTGTTAAATCATTAGGACATTTAAAAAGTAGGGGACTTTTTTATTTTTTATTTTGCTTTAGTAGAATATTAAAGAAGATTTGTAGTGGAACTGTGGTCCTTGGTGATTCATATAGTGCCAGTCAATGGCTACAGGCACTTTGAGAGTTATGTGACATGAAGCTCGCTCTCCAGCCTGTCATAAATGCACTCAGGACCATTTGCCAAAGGCTCAAGATTAAATGTAACAATGCTGTAAATAGTGTTTGGTTCCTTGAAGTCCCCAGTTTATCATCATGAGCAACAGGTATTCATTTTGCATTGCCTGTATGTTTTTTTAAGTCATTATCTTATGAATGTTCAAGAACCACATTTTCTGCAAAAGAAAAAAAATATATATATAATGAAAAATCTTCTTAAATATTTTTTGAAGAAAAAAGTTATCTACTGTGCATCTAACCCTAACCCTAAAATGATTAAATTAATAGCAAAGTTTAAATTCTGTGTGAGGGAAGTTGTGGTTTTCTTTTCTTCCCTGCTGGACAAGTCTTTGTTAATCTGGAACAAAGTGAATTGAATTAAAAAGAATTTAATTTAATTTAATTTAATTTAATTTAATTTAATTTAATTTAATTTAATTTAATTTAATTTAATTTAATTTAATTTAATTTAATTTAATTTAATTTAATTTAATTTAATTTAATTTATTTTAACGTAAATTTTATTGTCCCATCCTCATGCCAGTAAACATAGCAGAGAAAAGAGGAAAGGTGGGAGAAGAAGTTTAGATTTAACATTATGAGCGCAGATGGATTGTGAGTTTGAGCCTGAATGTGCATAAATAAATCTATAATAATTTATTAATAAATATCCACTTATCATTTCATAGTGAATTAAAAGTGCCTCTGTTATGCTATTTTGGATAATATATAGATATTGTGTGCACTGCAAAATAGTTTTTTTGTTAATGCAAAAAGTCAGCAAAGTTACAGAGATCAAAGAGCATGATAAATGGCATTGTTGCACTCTGTGTTTACTTTGTGTATTACAGTGCATCCGGAAAGTATCAATAGCGCTTCAAATTTTCCACATTTTTTATGTTACAGCCTTATTGCAAAATGGATGAAATTATTTTATTTCCGCAAAATTCTACACACAATACCCCATAATGACATTGTGAAAAAAGATTTTTTGAAATTGTTGCAATTTTATTAAAAATAAAATACCTGAAAAATCACATGTACAGAAGTATTCACAGCCTTTGCCGTGAAGTAAAGTTGAGCTCAGGTACATTCAGTTGATTGGACATGATTTGAAAAGGCATACACCTGTCTGTATAAGGTCCCAGGGTGAAGACAAAGGAATTGCATGAAGCATGAAGACAAAGGAATTGTCTGTAGACCTCCGAAACAGGAGGCTGGGGAAGGTTACAGAAAAATTTCTGCTGCTCTGAAATATCAAATGAGCAGTGTCCTCCATCATCCGTAAGTGGAAGATGTTTGGAACCACCAGGACTCTTCCTAGAGCTGGATGGCCATCTAAGCTGAGTGATCAGGGGAGAAGGGTCTTAGTCAGGGAGGTGATCAATGACCCGATGGTCACTTTGTCTGAGCTCCAGCGTTCTTCTGTGGAGAGAGGAGAACCATACAAAAGGACAACTAATCTGTGCAGCAATCCACCAATCAGGCCTGTGTGGTAAAGTAGCCAGACAGAAACCACTCTGGAATTTGCCAAAAGGCATCTGAAGGACTCTTAGACCATAAGAAACAAAATTCTCTGGTCTGATGTGACTAAAATTGAACTTTTTAGAGTAAATGCCAGGCCTTATGTTTGGAGAAAACCAGGCACCACTCATCACCAGGCTAATGCCATCCATACAGTGAAGGATGGTGGTGGCAGCATCATGCTGTTGGGATGCTTTTCAGCAGCAGGAACTAAAAGACTAGTCAGGACAAAGGGAAAGATGAATGCAGAATTGTACAGAGACATCCTGAATGAAAACCTGCTTTAGAGTGCTATTGACCACAGGCTGGGGCAGCAGGACAATGACCCAAAGCACACTGCCAAAATATCAATGGAGCGGCTTCACAACAACTCTGCGAATTTTCTTGAGTGGCCCTGCCAGAGCCCAGACCTAAACCCTATTGAACATCTCTGGAGAGATCTGAAAATGGCTGTACACCATAGCTTCCCATCTAACCTGATAGAGCTTGAGAGGTACTGCAAAGAGCAATGGACAAAAATTCCCAAAGACAGGTGTGCCAAGCTTGTGGCATCATATTCAAAAAGACTCGAGGCTGTCATTGCTGCCAAACGAGCATCAACAAAGTATTGAGCAAAAGCTGTGAATACTTAAGTACATGTGTTTTTTTTTAGGTTTTTTTATTTAAATAAATTTGCAACAATTTCAAAAAATCTTTTTTTATGAACGTTATGAATACTTTCTGGATGCATTGTTTACGCACACATTTATGATTTCTAGCTACAGTGTTTGTTATTTAAAGAAAAAATAAAACAAACATAATTGTGGGCTCTATTGTTAATGTAAATACTGTATTTCATTATTTTAGCTGAGAAGGACAGTTTCACCAGCATTTATACTGAAATATTTATGTTATATATGTACATTTATAATATTAAATGAAATAATGACAACTAATCAATACTGAAACAAATCTAATTGAAACAAAGTTATTTAAATAAGAATCAATCATCCAATCGGTCACAATACCTAGCCCTAATAATACGTTTTTTTGTTTCATTTTATAATCACTAAAACAAACCCCAACAGACTTGGTCAATCATCTGACCAATCAGAGCCTCAACACACCTGCATGGTTGTTTCTAGAAAGCATAGTAAATCCTTGTAGTTTGAGCATGCAAAATTCTGTTGTACGGCACTGAGAACAGGTGTGAGATTAAACAAGATGATTAGACATTAAAAAAACAAGCTATTGCTCCATATTTTAAATTTCTGTCTAGAGAGGTCATGTTTTGATCTTCGATTGGTCTTACACAATCACGTAGTGCGATTTTGCAGAGTTCAGAGTCAGAGTTCACCAACTTTCCAACGCAGCAAACTGCGAAACTTGTCGCACAACCTTGCATTTCTGGTCTGTCGCCTTTGCATACGTATGAATGGAAGTCTATGGGGAGAAAATTTCTGTGTGACTGTGTGGCTTTAGAGCTTGATTATCTAGCCCTGGTGTGTCTGATTGGGTTGGAAATAAACTTTGCAGGACACCGGCCCTTCAGGACTGAGTTTAGGCCCCCCTGCCTTAAACCATTTTACATAATTTGGAAAAAAGACGTGACATTTAATGTTTATTTTTAGAAAATGCATGCAAATCTACACAGAAAATGATGGTTTATTTAAACCAAAAAAGTAAAATATGAACAAACTCAAAAGCTGGGTAATATTTGGCACTATAAATTTAATGTTTAAAAAAATATATAACCCATCAGAGGTTGGTTTTGTCTATATTAACCCCAAATTGTGATGAAATAACCCAGCATTTTTAGAGTATATTATAATAGACTCTGTAGAAACTTGAAAAATATTAGACGGTAAATAGTTGATCTTAAGTGTGGCAAATAATTCCCTCAATTCCATTTAAATAACACAACAAGATATTTCACTTTGTGTCAACCACTCAGTTCTTCAGAGGCAGTTTGAAAAAATGAATATCCAGGGATTAAGGGGAAAAAAACTAAGAATGTCAATATGGGCAAAGAGAAAAATAACTGTTGAATTATTCAGATGACCACACATGGAACAGCGAGTAGACAACATTGGCAGGCGTGTGAACCTTCTGTCTCTCTCTCTCACTCAAACGTTGACCTGAAAACACACACAAGCGGGGCTTTTCCTACCTTGAAACCTGATGGTGTTGTTGATAAGGTCCAGTACATCCGCAATGGCGTTGTACTCGCCCACCTTCACCTCCTGACCCTCTGTGAAAGAAAGCAAGAACAAGAGGACAGCGGCGATAAGAGCAGTGTGTTCAAAGCCAGCGGGTCTCCAGAGAGAAACAAGACAATAGACAGTAAATTTAGTTCCTGGGCGCTCCACTGCAGAACTAGTCCAGCATATTGTCCTAAAATGCTCAGGGCGATGCTGACCTGAAAAAGTATGTAAATTGCAACCTTACGAATTTGCACATCAATTAAAAATTAAAGCTTCTGATTAGTGAGCATGAAAAAAAACAATGATTGAAGTGCTGATCTCATGACGACTGACTAAAAACTATTCAGAAAGACATAGAGTATCAAGGACAAAGAACGTCTGACAGAAGAGTGAAAATGGAATCTTTCTGCATTAATATTAATAGAACTGTTATATTTAAATCATTCATCTGAGCCCATTTGGATTTAAATTGCATTATACAGAATTTTTTGAGCGAAATATGATAGGATGTTCGCTAATGCTGAGAAGTTTGGGGTCACCGAGATTTTTTTTTTCTTTTTAAAAAAGTATCTTCTAACCAAGGATTGAAAACCTTGAAACTGTTAAAAACAGTTGTAATGCATATATTAGCATTGTAAATATCTTTAGTGTAATTATTTATTAGTTTAACAAATCTTTGATGAACAAAACAAAACAAAAAAATAACGTTCAGTCTTATAATCTTAAAATGTCAGCAAAATCACCTGTTTTGTCATCACATTACACATTACACCAGAGAGTCATTCAAACACTAGCTCTAAAGTGATGTTGGTGAATTAGTAACGGCTTCTGTTGTTCTGATGTCAGGTGCAGATGTGAATGAATGGCGGGAGAAAGTAGTTCTGTCGCTGATTCGTGGGTTAGTGTCCCACCAGTTCTGATACTTTTGGTACCAGTGACAGAACTACTTTCAGATATACAACCATATGCATCTGTTGCATTCGAATCAGCTATTTAAATTGCAATGCAAAAAAATATGAATTCCTTTTTTTATGTTTTTCAAAATCTGTAAGTACATTGCTAAAATGTCTTTTGCTTTCATTGAATTATCTTTAAGAAGGATCTTTTTAATTTCATCTTCATTATTGCTGACAAAAAACCCAAAAGCTAACAAGATTAGCACTGAACTACAGTACTTGAGGATGAAAACCAACAACAGTTCTGCACAATTTCTAGGTTACGCATAGACAGATGCAATAAAATGAAGCTTAGAGTCTATAAATCCCCAGCAGAACAAGAGCTACTCTCTCAGAGGCCAAATACAAAACAAGACTATTCCAAAAGCCATCTTAAAGCTCAATATTTCTCCCTGGTGTGTGCTTCAACAGTGTTTTTATATTGACTGTCACACTCGCAGGACCAAATGCATTCCTCCTTGAAATGAAAACTCATATAAAAAAACACACACACAGAGAACATGGGAAATAAAAATGTTATCATTTAGCACTTGGAAATACAGTTGAAGTCAGAATTATTAGCCCCCTGAATTATTAGCCCGTTGTTTATTTTTCCCCCCAATTTCTGTTTAACAAAGAGCAGATTTTTTCAACACATTTTTAATTATAATAGTTTTAATAACTCATTTCTAATAACTGCTTTATTTTGTCTTTGCCATGATGACAGTAAATAATATTTGACTAGATATTTTTCAAGACACTTCTTAAAATGACATTTAAAGGCATAACTAGGTTAATTAGGTTAACTAGGCAAGTAAGGGTTATTAGGCAAGTTATTGTATATCGATGGTTTGTTCTGTAGACTATCATAAAAAGCTTAAATAATTTTAATAATTTTGACCTTAAAATGGTTTAAAAAAATTAAAAACTGCTTTTCTTCTAGCCGAAAAAAATCAAATAAGACTTTCTCCAAAAGAAAAAATATTATCAGACATACCGTTAAAATTTCCTTGCTCTGTTAAACATTTGGGAAATATTTAAAAAAGAAAAAGACAAAACAAAGGGGCAGGGGGGTGGGGGGATAATTCTGATTTCAAATTTATATGTGTTTCATACTGCCTACTGCCCAATGCAACTCATCTGAAGGGTTCAACTAGGCCAGTAAGATTAACTAGTACTCCTTCAGACTGATATGTAATTAAGTTTAATGCCTGAGGTGGTCTTGGCAGGCATATCAGATGAATCATTGATTGTGCATATATCACCATTCAGATACGTTTCTGACCGTAAGTATCGATGTAATGTTGCAAAATGTTCATATATAGAGACCAATATGATCACGGTTATCTGTATTATCATGGCTTTGCTAAAATCAACTGAAAATGTTCAAAAAGACTTAGACTTACACATACTTAGGGTATTAAACCAAGTTTTATATCTGAAACTAAACAAACAAACAAACAAAAAAATAATAATTATATATATATATATATATGTTTATATATATATATATATATATATATATATATATTCATTTATTTATTTGCAGCTTTATGCAATTTAGTGAAAAAAAATACATTAACATCGATGTCTTTGATTAATTATTGTTGTAATTTGCAGTAAAGATTTTTTTTGTGCTTTTAGAGATACATTTGCTTTTCTTTTTTAAGGAATTTTGATTAACCTGCAGTTGGAAAACTACCTCACATAGATTCATATTTACCTTTGTTTTTCACAAAATTGCATAAAACTTGAGCCAAAACAGGCTGTGCAACTAAATACCTTACTGCGCTTTTTCTGGCTGATGATTTGCAATTTAATTTAGTGAAGTCAAACTTCAGCTCATTATTCTCAATAGTGTCCAGCACACACTTTAATTGAATGGAGTACAACATATTTTAACAGCATATATACATACATATGTATATATATATATATATATATATATATATATATATATATATATATATATATATATATATATAAACATGCATTTACATTGCAGCCTTTTCTGATTAGCTAATGGCAATGTTACAGGACTTACAGGGAACTCTAAATCAGGATAATCAATCTTGGTTTTAATGATAAGGAATATTTGAAACTGTAATATTAACTGTCAGAAAATTGACTATGACTTTCCTTGAAACTCGGAATCTTAACAACGCTAACTGTGAGATCAACTGGACACTACAAAAAGCCCACACATGTAAACTGATGGACAGCATTCAGTTTGTTACGATCACCAGTGATCTAGCATCGCTGGAGAACTACACATATGCCACTTTATCAAACTACATATCCCATCAGGCACCTCACACACACCAGTTCCAGATCAGCCCTGATTACTTGCACACAGCTGTAACTCATTAAGACTTTACATGGACTATTGACAATCACATGGACTTTTGATTACATGGACTATATATACACCTCACATTCACACACACATTCTTGAGTCTTGTTTTATGGTAACATTACCAGGGTTATCATTTTCTTACCATGTTGCTTGCCTGTGACTCTGAGTATGCTCCTGGATTTCCTATATGCTCCATTTTGCCCCAATTTTGACCATTGTCTGCCTGACTAATCTCTTAAATAAACTGCATGTGGATCCTCACCTCTGTTGAAACCTACCCGTACGTTACAAGTACGTTATTAAAAGTCAGCTGTATTGATTTAATTGTTGATAAGGGAAAATCTTTTGTAGAAAACAAAGTAAAAAGCAACAGTTTGGCCATATAAAGGTTTTTTTTTTTTTTCCAGGATGTCATTCTTTGATAAATTGGTCAGGAAAAGATTCTGAGTGTCTTGTCTAGATTGTTTGGTGTGTGTGTGTGGCTGTGGATGGTGTGATAGAAGCTGATTGACTGGGGCAGTAAAGATGGATGACAGGCTCAGTTGAGGATCAGCACTTCTTTAAATATTCAGCATGGGATACCTCGTTCACAGTGAGGGATGAAGAGAGAAAGAAATGAGCAGATAGAGAATTTGGAAGCCAATTGAAGGAAAAAATTAAATTGTTTTAAACCAATAGAATATAAACAAAAAAAAAATAGAAAATAGATTCACATTATTAATTGTCAGGTATTGGGTAGAATTAGGGATGTAGAATAAGATCATACTTTATAAGTACTAATAAATAGCCTGTATTATTGATTGGCAGGTAATCAGCCACTAATTAATAGTGGGAATTGGTACTTAAACTAAAGTGATTAAAAAAAAAAAAGTAAAAATACAAATCACAAAATGATGATTCAAAATAGAAATTCTGAGGGTAAAAAGATGTGAGTCCATAAGTAAATGCATGAATGATGATTATGAGTGAGATAATGAGAATAAACAACTCGGTGAATAATGTATGAATAAATAAGTGTGAGTGTATGCGTAGATGAACAATATGATGAACGATGAGTATGAATGAGTTGATATGAGTCAATAAATATTTGTGAACGAATGAACAAATGAATGAATGAATGAATGAATACATGAATGAAATAATGAATTAATGATTGAACTAACGAATTAACTAACGAATGAATGAATGAACTAACGAATGAATGAATGAATGAATGAATACATGAATGAATGAATATATGACTACATAAAAATGTGAGTACATACAGTAAGCAAATGAGTGGATGAGCATATGCTAATATGTTAATACTTATAATATAACATATAAGTTAATACATTTTTTGTGAATGAATGAATGAACAAATGAATGAACAATTAAAAGAATGAATGAACAAACGAACAAATGAGTGAATGAATGAATGAATAAATGAATGAATGAATGAATGAATGAACGAACGAACTAACTAACCAACTAACCAACTAACTAACTAACAAATGAATGATGTCTACATAAAAATTGAGTCAAGCATGTACTCACATGTACTTTAATGTATGAATGAACTAACAAATGAATGAATGAATGAATGAGGTAATGAATGGATATATGACTACATAAATATGTAAGCAAGCATATGAGTGAATGAGTGTAAGTCAATATGTTTATACATCATATACATGATATAATATATAATGTAAAAGAAAGAAAAAATGAACAAACGAACAAATTAATGAATGAATGATTAGATGAAAAGAATGAGAGTGGCTAAATGTGAGTAAATAAGCAAATGAGTTGATGAGTGTAAGTTAACATGTATATACATATAATATAATATATAATAAGTTAATACATTTTTGTGAATGAATGAATAAATGTGAGACTGAATGAATACATGACAAAGTAAGACGCTTTCTAGTGTACTGATAACATTTCTCCTTTCTTTTTTTTTGCTGATTTACCCCAGCCTGTTATTCGCCTTCGTACTGACAGTTCAATCACCCCTCGGCCAAACAGCCCTGGGATCCTGCAGCCTGTTCACAAATACAGTCTGAAGAGGTGATGTAACATGCTATAGGGGGAAACCTCTGCAGCGGAGCAGATAAGACTGAAGAGGGTGAGAAACGCTGGCCAAGGGGTACGAGAAGGGAATCCCTGCTCCGAGATTAAATCCCACAAAACAGAGTTAATCTCCACTGCCCTCAGGAAATGCGCACACACACACGCACGCACGCACGCACGCACACGCGCACACACACACACACACACACACACACACACACACACACACACACACACACACACACACACACACACACACACACACACACACACACACACACACACACTGGATTAATCACATCAGAGGCCAAGCAGGGGAATTCTCTGACCCTATTAAACTATTGGACAGCAGCAACATTATCGATGCGCTCGCTGACAATATGTGTGATGTATTGAAAAAATGAAGATTGAATATTACAGGGAGATACATTACCAGTCAGTTGTTTTGTTTTATGTTTTTAAAAGAAGACACTCAGTTCCGCTCCCTGAAGCTGCATTTATTTAATGAAAATAGCAGTAAAAATGTCAGATTGTAAAATATCATTACAATTTTAAATAGCTCTTTCGTACTAAATGTACATTAGGTTACTTTTGAATTCATTCTTCAATTTTCAGGATCATTACTCTAGTCTTTAGTTTCACATGATTATTATTCATGTTTTTAAAGAAAGACTATTCTGTTATCTGAGGTTGCATTTATTTGACCAAAATTTCAGCAAAAACTGGACATTTTTTAAATGTTATTACTGTTTTAAATAGTTGTGTTCCTATTGAACGTACACTGTAAAAATATCCGTAAATGAGTAGTTTTACAATAATTTATAAAAAATTATGTCAAATAAAGAAAGAATGAATGAATGAATGAATGAATGAATGAATGAATGAATGAATGAATGAACGAGAGATTAAATAAATACATGACAAAATAATATTCTTTCTAGTGCGCTAAAAACATTTCTCTTCTCTTTTTTGTTCCTGATTTTCAAGCCTGTTTTCATGAGGAAACGTAAGTATTTTAGGTTTTGTCAAGTTAGTGGCTAAAGAGTTCAGTCGTTCGAAAATGTACAATTTAAAAAGGGGGCGTGGCACCCAACCCTGCCCCTAAACCCAACCGTCATTGGGTGATGAGCAAAGCATACTAAATTGTACGTATTAGATCATATAAATTCATGCAAATTAACCACTAAATCAAAAATGTACAAATTGCCGTGAGATTGCGTTGTAATTACCCCAGCATGTATTCGCCTTCACACCCCTTGGCCAAACAGTCTTTAGTTTCACATGCTCATAATTCATGTTTTGAAGACTATTATGTTTATCTGATGAAAATACAGCAAAATCTGGACATTTTTTAAATGTTAGTACTGTTTTAAATAGTTTCGCTCCTACTGAACATACTTTGTGATTCATATTTTTATCTTTCCTTTTATTTATGCTTTAAAATTGCCTTACAGGATCTTGATTTTACTTCCAACAACTTTTAACCTTGAAAGAGGTTCCAAAAAGTGACTTTTATGAACATTTTAAATAGTTTAAAATGATAAATTGTCTAGGCATATTACGCCACAGAACCTTGTACTAAACTGCAGTACATTTTTTTAGGTTATTCTTATTTCTCTATATGTTATTTCTTATACATTCTAATATTTCATACAACTAAAATGATCCCACAGAAAGTAATAATGCAGCCTGATCTCAGGAGAAAATGTAAATGTTTGTTGTACAAATTCGTACGAGTTCAGTCATATGAAAATGTCAATTTTAAAATGGAGGCGTGGCACCCAACCCCGCCCCTAAACCTAACCGTCACTAGGGGATGAGCAAATCGTACTAAATTGTACGACTTAGGAATTTACACGAATTAGCCACTCAATCAAAAAGTTACGAATTGCTGTGAAATTGCGTTGTAAAAATGTTTCTTCTAAAAACAATTTGTTGATTTTATTTTAAAAAGTGTTGGAACTGTTAAGTTAACTTAAATGTTATAATTATGCATAATTATGTTAATTTACTTAATACTTTTAAGACAACCGCTTTACTTAATATTTTTAAAGTAGAGTCAACTAATCACTTTGAAAATAACAAGTTTACTCACTTTAAATTAAGTAAACTAATCACTTTTTTGTTTACAATATATCAGTTTAAAAATCTATTTTTTTTACTGCTTTACAATTTTGTGGAAACTGCAAAACATTTTTACTTTTTAAGGTTCCTTGATCAAAAGAGAGATCAAAATAGCATTTTTAAATAAAAATAAAAACTTTTTTAAAAGTCTTTTTAAATTTCTTTTTCACTCTTGAACTATTTAATGTGGCCTTTATACACTGTACAAAATGCTGAGTTCCACACAATCAATGTGTGTTGAAATAACATGAAGAAATTGTATTAACTTATCAGTTTTTACAAATTTAAGTGGATTAAACATGAAACAATTAGACTGTCGCAAAAAAACCCTCAAGAACTGTGTTGTTTCAGATCAATTTAAATAAGTAGTTTGAACAAACAGCAAATGTAATTTTTTTTAGTGTAAGTAAAATCTCAAACATTTTAATGGTGCCTTTGAATAGTGTTGTATCACAATTTCTTCAAGAACATGAAGCAGTTTTAAACACTAATCATAAATGTTATTTAAGCAGCAGATCATCCACTCAAAAAACGATTTTTTGCTGCTTGTTCCAACTACTTATTTAAAATGAGCTAGATAATCACAATTCTTAAGTTTTTTGGGATTTAATCCACTTAAATTTGTAAAAAATAACAAAGTTAACTAAGTCGTTTTGTGTTGGGACAACATGAACGGATTGTGTGTAATAAATTTTTTTTTTCAGTGCATACTTGAATGCTTCCTGATGACTTCTTTTAAAAACATATTTTTAAAAATCTACTCATGCCAAACTTTCGACCATTAGTGTATTTCTTGCACATATTCAATAAAACAGATTAAGACGCTCATTTAGGACAGATAAAAATCAACAATGTTTAAAGGACCGGAATCCGGCATTTCCCTATAAAAAGGCTTGTTAACCAAAAAAAATGACCATTTAATAGACTTACCTTGAAACTGGGTGAATTTTATGGTTCCCATGCGTTCCCCATTCCTGAACATCACCTGACCCTGCACAAACACACAACAAATACCTTTATAAAAGCTGCTTATCACGTGTAAATAGGCAGTTTGCTGAAGTCTCGATTAAGATGATTAATATCACGGCATAATCCAAGTTAGAAAGATATATATTACGAGCATTGATTTTCCATCTTGTTGCCATATCCTTCACTCTTGGCACAGCAACAAATTGGAAGTGTATAGCTTAAAGTCTGGCACCGGGCTTGTTTTTCAGCCTGTTTATTAGTTTAAAGATCTGTGAATTGATTGTTTTGAGACAAACATAATTAATAGCAGTACAATTGATTTGTTAGATTAAAGGAGCTGGCTGTGCCAACAGAAGATGACTTATGCGTTTTTAACTACTCCACAAATACAAATGAAAAAAGTGCTATATTTAGATTATTTATCTATTCTAACAGTATCTTTTTTAAAAACTTGTGTTGTAAATTAAACAAATAAACATAAAAAATAAAATAAACATATTAAATAAAAAATATACATTTATATTCATATAAAATAAAGTAAACAACAATAAAAAATAAAAATAAAAATTATTGATCCAACAATGCAGTATGCAGCTAATGAGTTATAAGAAATGTATAAATATATTAATATAATAAATATAAAAATAATAATATATAGGTGACACAGTGGCGTAGTAGGTTGTGCTGTCGCCTCACAGTAAGAAGGTCACTGGTTCGAGCCTAGGCTGAGTCATTTGGCCTTTTTGTGTGGGGTTAGCATGCTCTCCCTGTGTTCACGTGGGTTTCCTCCGGGTGTTCCGGTTTCCCTCACAGCCCAAAGACATGCGGTACAGGTGATTTGGGTAGGCTAAATCGTCCATAGTGCATGAGTGTGAATGAGTGTGTATTGATGTTTCCCAAAGATGGGTTGCAGCTGGAAGGGCATCCGCTGCGTAAAACGTGTGCTGGATAAGTTGGCGGTGCATTCCGCTGTGGCGACCCCGGATTAATAAAGGGACTAAGCCGAAAAGAAAATGAATGAATTAATAATAATATATAATAAATAATAAGAATAATTTCTGATTTTAAATAAGACATTTTAAGTCATTATGCATAATTTTACAAAATAAAAAATAAAAAAAAATTAAAAAATAAAATAAAATAAAATCTAATTAAATTAAATTAAAAAAATTATTAATCCAACAAGTGCAACAAGTAAGAAATATAGAAATATAAAATAAATCAAATTCTGCATTTAGTTCTTATGCATATAAAGGTGGCTGAGGTGACAAAAAATAAAATAAAATAAAATAAAATAAAATAAAATAAAATGAAAAAAAAAATTAAAAAATAAAATAAAATAAAATAAAATTAAATTAAATTAAATTAAATTAAATTAAATTAAATTAAATTAAATTAAATTAAATTAAATTAAATTAAATTAAATTAAATTAAATTAAAAATAAAATAAATTAAAATAAAAAGTTAAATGATCCAACGATGGCGTATATGGCTAAGAAATATAAAAAAAATAAGTAAATAAAATTCTGCATTATAGGTGGCTGAGGTGGCAAAACAAAACAAACAAACAAACAAAACAAAATAAATAAGATGAATGCAAAAATAAAATAAAATAAAATAAAATAAAATAAAATAAAATAAAATAAAATAAATCAAAATAAAATAAAATAAAATAAAATAAAACAAAACAGGGGTGTAAAGTTCTCCTCTAGGACCGGGTTTGGACACCCCTAGTTTACAAGATAGATACATATCATTACAGACAGGACCGAAAACAGAACACTGATATAAATAATAAATCACTTTACTCACTTACAAAACACAATCATTAGCAGACGCAAACCCTCTTGCAAAATCACAAATTATAACAGTGTGAACATCAGATGTTACAGATTAGTTGTGAATAGGTCATTAAAATGCAGACAGATATGCAGCAATTTGACATAAATAATTCCATCAATGGATCACAATATTATCTAGTTTGCTCATTAAGTCTTAAAAAGGAAAGGTGTAAATGTGCTTTGCTGTCTGTCTGCTTAATGAGCCATTTAAAAGGATTCAGGATCAGTCGGCCCAATAAAATAACAGGTGAGAGGCACACCGCATTAACATGCCAATAATTAGAAGCCCATTACAACCATGGGAGGCAACAGTGAAGCGAACATATCTCTAAAAATGGCTCTCTTTGAAGTGTAGATCAGGCTTTGGTCCCAGTGCAACTCTATTTTCTTTGTTTAGCTGCTCTGACGTGGGCGATGGATAAACGCCCGGCTTCACAAAACACTTTACAGTAACGCTTTTAGACTTATGTGTGTAAACAAAATATAATGTGAGCTGCAGTAATGCTGGCAAATTAAGTTTACTGACTCCAAAACCCTACCTGCGGTCATTTGCATACCTTTCAAGACATAATTTTTTGATTTATAAGCTCAGCAGGACGTCATTTTGTGACATTGTGGAAATAACAAAGGAAGGAGAAAGGTAGGTCATTCACTTTTATCATTCACTTCATAGGGGTAAGTCATTCAAATATATATATAAAAAAATGAGTAAATCCAAACAACAACAATAACAATAGCAATGTATTTTTTATCTAACAATATAGAATATTGTGAACGTGAAATATTATCACAATTTAAAATACATGTTTTAAATGTAAATATATTTGTATATTTGTGTGAATATTATTTATGTATGTAATACAAAAGCATTGGAACATTGGAAAAACTATATTATTATTAATAATAATAATAGTAATAATAATATGTAAAATGTAAAAAAAAAAAGATTTTTTTAAATTGTTGCAAATTAAAAAAAAAAAAAAAAAAGCTGAAAAAAATCACATGTATGTTGATTGGACATGATTTGAAAAGGCATACACCTGTCTATATAAGGTCCCAGGGTTGACAGTGCATGTCAAAGCACAAACAGACAGAAGCCACTCCCTGCCTGGAATTTGCCAAAAGGCATCCAAAGGACTCTCAGACAGAGAGAACAAAATTCTCTGGTCTGATGAGACTAACATTGAGCTCTTTAGAGTAAATGCCAGGCGTCAAGCTTGGAGAAAGCCAGGCACCGCTCATCACCAGGCTAATACCATTTCTACAGTGAAGCATGGTGGTGGCAGCATCATGCTGGGGATGTTTTTTCAGCAGCAGGAACTGGAAGACTAGTCAGGATAAAGAGAAAGATGAATGCAGCAATGTACAGAGACATCCTGAATGAAAACCTGCCTCAAAGTGCTCTTGACCTCAAACTTGACCGATGGTTCATCTTCCAGCAGGACAATGACCCAAAGGACACTGATAAAATATCAATAGAGTGGCTTCACAACAACTCTGTGAATGTCCTTGAGTGGCCCAACCAGAACCCAGACCTTAATCCTATTGAACATCTCTGGAGAGATCTGAAAATGGCTGTACATAGATGTGACACATGTGATAGAGCTTGAGAGGTACTGCAAAGAGGAATGGGCGAAAATTCCCAAAGACAAGTGTACCAACCTTGTGGCATCATATTCAAAAAAGACTTGAGGTTGTAATTGCTGGTGCATCAATAAAGTATTGAGCAAAGGCTGTGAATACTTATGTAATTTTTCAGGTTTTTTTATTTTTAATAAATTTGAAACAACTTTAAAAATAATAGTTTTTCACATTGTCATTATTGGGTATTTTGTGTAGAATTTCGAGGAAATAAATGAATTTAATCCATTTTAAACTCTGTCTGGTGACAGAGTGAAGTCCAAATCTCTTTCCAAAAAGTTCATTTTTCCTAAATCAATGAAGACTTTGCTCTTTCACAGTGTCTTTTTAGAGCACTTTCATTAGATTAGTAAAGCTGAAAATAGCTTGCGCTGTAGGTATGGATTGATGAATAAACTTTTGCCTAGTTTATTGGTTAAAGACTTTAATAAAATCAGCTGTCCATTATATTTATTTTAGCATTATGTTCGTTTTTTTAATCACATCCAGAATAAGTTAAATTAAGGTTTGTATTTATTAACCTTTTTCTTAATTATTGGCTGTCAAATATGTTTGTAAAAATTCTCACATCAGCTAAGTTTGTAACATTTAACCAAGCCATGATGATGGACAAGTGTGGTGAGTGTTTAAAAGAGTGTACAAGTTTGTAAAAGTGCTAGAGCCTTAATAAATCTCCAACATGCCATTTAGTAGGAGAAAGAATGGTTCCACTTAGTTGACTCTAGCTGTCAAACGTGGAGGAGGAAGCGTGATGGACTCAGACTCCTTTGCTGGAATCAGAGTCAGTGACTTACACAGCGAGTGTCACCCTCAACCAAAAACACTAGCGCAGCATTCTGAAGTGGACAGAAGCGTGAAAGCAATGCTATAGCTACTGTACAAGTGGAACATGTTTGTGGGGGCTTTGCAAAAAGTGCTGAGAATAAACTTACGAACATTATACAACTTTTATCTGCTGTTGTATTGACAAAAAAAGTTTTGTGAAGCTACATTGCTAGAAAGAAGGATCTAACATATTATAATATTTTGCATTCATTTGAAGCAATTATTATCACTGTGTTTTGTATGAAAGCGGGGATGAAAGTAACATTCATTCATTCATTTTCTTTTTGGCTTAGGCTTTTTGGCATCACTGGGAATCACCCATACACTCTCATTCACACACATACACTATGGACAATTTATCTTACCTAATTCACCTATACCACGTCTGCACTTGTGGGGGAAACCGGAGCACCCGGAGGAAACCCACACAAACACAGGGAGAACATGCAAACTCCACGCCAACTGCAGCCAAGGCTTAAACCAGCGACCTTCTTGCTGTGATGCCTTTCTTATTTTCCACTTCCACATTAGTTTTCAGTGTTTTGACTCATATGTTTTTATAAGAATAGCGGACATTCGCGTTGTGTTACCCATCAGGAGCTTGCTCTTGTAGGTGTGTGATGCTGGTGTCCTGGGGTAAAATCCTTATGCTGACACTAGATAACAGTTTATCAAACTGGGCTCGGCTCAGTCTGAAGCATCGCTAAAAGCTTCC